TATCAGAATATTGTTCTCATCCAGCCACTAAATATTCAAAACCTAACACATTCTACTTGGAACCTCCTAAGAAACATCAGATTCACAGACAACAACATTGGTTCTCCTGTATTTGTTCATTCCTTTTAGTCATTGCTTTAAGGATGTCAATTTTCAGATACTCTAGCTTTGTTTCATCAGGTGCTTGGCAACTTTCTTCAGACCTTCCCACAAGAACAGAGAGCACAGTCACATTCCATGTCAGCTCATCAGGCAACATAAGACTGGGCAATGTAAGGCTGTGATGGGGCGAAAAGGCAGAGACACAGGGCTGATGCCCAGGGCAAACACAGTAACTCTCACTTCACCAGCAACATATTTGTGGCAAGAGCTTCTCACAAGCCCTGGGTTAGCGCCTTCCCAGTCATGGATCAACAAACTTTCCCTCAAGTCGGAAATAGCATGATTCAACCGTGAAGTGTGACATACGGTTTCTTACCTGCACCGAGATGATTCTCCTTAACTGGATGTTTATACTGAGCCACCCCACATCCTCCGCAGTGTGGAGTTCAACTCAGATCTCCCCAGGATGAGTCTGGGAGAATCACTTTGACCTCTCTCCTGCAGAGTCCTCTTCTGAGCAGGGACATGGCTTGGCAGAATCCCATCCACATGTGGATTTAGTATTTACTACGTGGAGATGAAGTGATTGGGCTTTTCCAGGCTTTGGAGCTGTACCCACAACCGGGACTGGGGTTTAGGAATGAGCTGCAGGGGATGAGAGGACCCAAGGAAGTGGTTTCTGTAACTAGTTCCATTGATCCTTACACATGGAGGCCCGTGGCCCTTACAGGAGGTTTTGGGTCCGGTCCAAGCCTCAACTAAGGTGCTAGGATCCGCAAAAGTGAAGAACGTGGGACTGAAGTGGAAAACAGCCCTGACTTGCACCAGAAGGGATTAAGCCCAGCAAGCAACCTGAAATTCAGGGTAGAAATCCAGTTAGTCAGGACAGGAAGGAGCAAAGTAGACAAATGCTTCTCTCACTACTCCTCCACCCACCCCAAGGGGGCACAGTCTAACCAAGCTTCATCCAGCCTATATTCCCAAATGAAGCAAAAATATCTGGCAGTTCCTGAGCCCCAGAAGAGGGCTGAGTTAAATGGGTTACCCCATTCAACTTCAAGTGTATACAAAATTTATCTACCTCTTCAGAACATTGGGAGCAACAAAACATGGCTAAAGGATGGCCAAAAGGCACAAGAAAAGATGTTCAATATCACCAATTATCAGAGAAATGCCAATCAAAACTACAAGTATCACTTCACACCAGTCAGAATGGCCATCATCAAGAAGTCCACAAATGATAAATGCAGGAGAGGGTGCGGGAAAAAGGGAACCCTTCTACATTGCTGGTGGGAATGTAATTTCATGCAGCCACTACAGAGGACAGTATAGAGGTTACTTAAAACCAAAAGCAGACTTACTATAAGATCCAGCAATCCCACTCCTGGGCATGTATCCGGAGAAAACTGTAATTCGAAGACACATGGACCCCAGTGTTCACAGCAGCACTATTCACAGTAGTCAAGACATGGAAACAACCTAAGTGTCCAACACCAGATGATTGGATAAAGAAGTTGTGGTACATATACATACAATGGAAAATTACTTGCCATAAAAAAGAATGAAATAATGCCATTTGCAGCAACGTGCATGGACCTAAAGATTATCATACCAAGTGAAGTAAGTCAGAAAGAAAAAGACAAATACCATATATCATTTATGTGTGAAATCAAAACAAAATGACACAAATGAACTTATTTACAAAACAGAAACAGGCTCACAGACATAGAAAACAAATTTATAGTTACTGGGGGGTAAGGGGGTAAAAGAGATAATTGGGAGTTTGGGATTTGCCGATACCAACTACTACATATAAAATAGATAAACAACAAGGTCTTACTGTATAGCACAGGGAACCATATTCAATATCTTGTAGTAACCTATAATGAAAAAGAACATGAAAATGAATAAATGTATGTATATGTATGATTGAAACATGCTGTACATCAGAAATTGACACATTGTAAACTGACTATATGCCAATTGAAAAAAAATAATAAAACCAACCAGAAGTCAGGTGGATTTTATTATCACCATGGATAAGCAATTTTCAACAATGCAGGGAAGAAACAGTTTTCCTCACTTGGGTGAACCACTGCCATCATCTCATTAGGCTGGATGCTCTGATGTCTATATCTGGTGCCTGACACTCGGCAGCCACAGCACAACTCTAAACACAGCTCAGCTGGAACACTGAAGTTGGCAGAGCAAAAAGAAGGAAAGAATCTGGATTTTTAAAAAATATTTGTGGTACAATATACATAAAATTTCTCATTTTAACCATACCATTATGAGTATATTCATAATGTTGTGCAACCATCACCGCTATCCATTTCCAGAACTTTTCCATTAACTGAAGCAGAAACTCTGTACTCACTAAACAGGACTCCCTATTCTTTGCTCCCCTGCAATTCTGGTCACAATTATTCTTTCTGTCTCTATGAATCTGCCTATTCTAGGTACCTCATATAAGTGGGACATTTACTATCTGTCCTTTTGCGTCTGGCTTTTCTCACTTAGCATGTTTTCAAAGTTCACCTATGTTGTAGCATATATCAGAATTTTATTTCTTTTCAGGGTGGCGTAACATTCCATTGTAAATACGAACTTGGGTTTTAATGACCCCTTTGAGGCACCACACCTTAGGGCACCTCCTGTTAGGTTAGACAGTACCTTTATATTATAGCATAGGTCACCTGGCATTGGGTTTTCTTCTTACAGCTGAATCTTAACTAACACACAAGGCACAACTCAGGTTCCTCTGTGAAGCTCCAGGGCAGGCAATGAGGCCCACAGACACTCAAAAAGGATGTTCTCAGCATGTGGTGAAATTTTACAGAATTCCCCTGCTGTGTGTGTGTCGAAGTTTGAATCTATACATGTGAACACAAACACATGATTAAGGCCACAACTTTACCTCTTTTCATACTCAGTTCAGCTATTTTGATAATCCCTTATTACAACCACTCGTTTCAACATAGACAGTTACTCAGTACTTAACATTTTTCTTCATCATAAAAAAATATTAAACTCCAAATCGACTGAGCCGTTGAGCCTGGTGCCTGGTGGAGGAGTACAGATTGATGCCTCTTTTCAAAACACTTTTCCACAATCTTAACTGGAGTTGGAAAGAATCACACTTAGTCAAAGGCAAAGAATAAAGACATTTATTTTAAAAACACCATCCAGCATCAATTGCTCCAACTTTGGCAGGCAGGAAGGGTGGGCGATTAATGAATGTTTTACTTTTATGTGAATTTGGAGATACAGGAAGCAATATGGCAAAAAAAAAAGTCCTTATCATTAGAACTGAAGAAGAAAAGTGAGTAGTAAGCTACTACGATAGAAGAAGAAGTTCATCTTTGATATGTACTAACAGAGGCGAGGCTTGACTTACTCACACGATTATGAAACATGCTGGCTCATGACCAGGAAAAGGCAGACTGCAGAAGGATGTGAGCAGACCCCAGTGTTAGTAGGGGAAATGGAGAAGTGGGGATAAAGAGAAAGAAAAATTAGGCAGAATGTCTTTGCTCAAGAGTCCCTAGGAAAAAAAATGTATTAAAAAAAGCTCTGTAAGCAAGTATCGCAATACTTTTCTGTGACTATCAAAGTGTAATGCACAGCATTAGAAATCAGTTACGCTGTAAACATGTAAGAATATCCTTTCATTGTAAGCATATATATATGAAGCCTCCTGCATCTACTATATTATATATCACATTATAAAATTCTATCTTTTTTTGCTTATTCCCTTCTCTGGTTCCTAGTTGTTCACATTCTGGGAGAAGACAAAGACCTTCAGATTCATCAATCCAGTGCTTTCATTTCCCAGATAAAAGAGGGGGAGTCGCTGGCCCATGGTCACACTCATCCTCAGTGAAAGAGACTGGACTGGTCAGGTGTCTGACCCCCCACTGGGTGCCTTTCTCATGACATGACGGGATTCACACTCCACCCTATCCCTGGTCTGGACTTGGTGGTTCCCCTCCACCGCAGCTGGGGCAGAAAGGCTGTGAGAGAAAGGAACTGGTCTCACTCTGAGAGTGGGACACAGAAGGGGAGGCCATAAAACACATCTCCTACTCCTATCCCAAGTCTGAAAATCATCTACACCACACACACACAGACACACACACACACACATACACACACACACACACACGAATCAGGCTACTCTAATCACCACGCTGAGAAATATTTCCTGGATAGAGCATTGCGGAAAAAGGACAGAGGAATTTTTAAAGGCTGCCAGAGGAGAGGTTACTGATTTCTAAAGGAGAACATCTGGCCAAGTACATCTACACCTTTCAGAAGCTCTTCACATAAAGCATTGGTTACAGAAGTGACTACCGTCGAGAATTTCTGACTCCAGGGGTCATCACAACACCAGACATGGAGTCCCTAACCACACTGTTATCAAATGTGCCACTAATTAGTGGTGGGAATTGCCTCCAAGGATGCAAATTCCAGCAGAAATTCCAGAAAACACATTTGATTGGATTCTTGTAAAAAGCCCCACCATTCTCACATCTATTTTTGGTTTCATAGTTATCAGCACTCAACATTCCAAAGGTAAACCCAAACAAACAAAACAAATCCTCAAAAAACCATTGTAAATGTTCCAGTCTGCCTGTCCCTCTTGCTGGGTGGCAGTAGCGGCAACACTCCCCTGCAACATTCACGAGAGGTGCCTTAAGAGGGAGGAGGGCAGATCTCTCGAGGCCATTTTTCTCTCCATGTCCTTTGAGAACAAAACGAATGTGACACTGGATTTTAAAAATATTCATCATAAGTTTCTGTTCACATTCAATACAAGGAATACGAATTTAAAATACTCTTTGTCGTAATCACGAACTAGGAAAACTGTGAGAGGAAACAGAGTTCTTGAAACTCTTGAGAATTTCAAGTTTATGGCCACATGAAAAAGTACCGCAATTCTATAGCTTGTCCTGCAGAAATTTAGCCTTCTTGTGCTCTTAGTTTCTATAAGAGCAAGGATCTCTTTCATTTAAACTTTTCCTAGAAATTTGCTTTCTCAAATGAAGACAAATCACTCATTTTACAAAATAAGAGCAAGCCATGTGTCGTGTGTCCATCTCAGGCGGTAAATCGCCTTCATACCATATTTCTGGTTTCTTTCCATATAGCTTGTTGTATCTTATACACAGACTCCTGAAAAATCCTTTCCACTTGTGTAGGAAAGCCACGACCTTCTTCCTCCAGGGCGTTGATGGTTCGCAGAGCAAAGGGAGTCCTTTCCCGGGGCAGGGGGCTGTTGAGGGGCCGCATGGGGATGACAGAGTTGTACTTGTGCTGCCGGTTCACGGAGTTCATGAGGGATGTGTAGAACTGGAACTTACACCAGGTGTCTCTTAAAAAGTTCTCGGTCAACAGTAAGATTGTCCAGGCAGACCCATTGACGGCATCATCTAAATTCTGTAAATGCTGTCTGCCACAGGGCATCTCGGCAAAGATTATGCCAGGTTTGATGCCGAAGTCATTTTGCAGCAGATTCTGTACTCTGAGGGCTTCATCTGTGTCGTCCTCGGCGTGCAGTATCACAAATTTGAAGAACACCTCCTCTTCTTCTGCTTCCTCTTCAGGCCTCTCCTCCCCCGCCTCGGCTCCCTCCTGTCCCTCTGCTGGCATCTCTGCTACACTGCTCTGCACAACATGATCACGCAGGGAGTGCTCTTCAGATTTCCCGGAATCTGACTTGTGATGTCTTTGACTTGTATCCACACTGTGGCTTTTACCCCAAGAGAGAGAAAGAGGGCAGGGATCCGTTTTAGACTTCCCGATACCCATGATAAATATCCAAGTCAGAAGAGGAAAGCTTCATTTATTTCTCAGCATTACTTTTCATTCTAAAAGCAGAAATAATAAAGCAGAAGGATATTATAAATCTGATCAAAACATTAAAATTGGAAACTTTCATTCAACCTGAAATCCTCAAAAAGGTTACAATATAAAGGTCACTAAGAAAGAAATGCCAAACAAATGACTGGGAAATAAAATCACTAATCTTTTTTGAGCTTTACAAGGGCTCCCACAGGTAGTCAAGGTTAAGTTAAACAGAGGGTCCAGTTTAATACAACAGGAGACATTTGAAATCTTTAATGGTGTTATATTAGCACTATAAGCCTCCAGATTAAAATTAATTACTTTGGATTTTAGTGAAAATCAGGTACCATATCACTCTACTCAAATGGAGTTTAAGTCCAGCTTCTCCATAACCAAATTATTGGGTAAACTAGAAAAAGGAAAGCTTAAAGAAACAGAATATTCAAATATCAAATACAAAATTTATTTTTGTCAGTTTTTTTAATCTTTTCAAAGACTAGCTCTTTGTTTTATTGATCTTTCCTACTGCTTTCTTGGTTTCTATTTATTTCTGCTATAATCTTTTTTTTTTTGAACCCAGGACCTCACGCATGCTAAGCATGTGTTCTACCACTAAGCTATACCCACCCCACCCCCACACAAAATTTATTTTGGCATCAAACACAAACACAAAACAGAATAAAAATATCCTACAATGGCTAACAGGTAGCTCTACTGACTCAGAATAAGGATCTGAAATGTCAAAGGAAATGTTGCCCAGGATTCATTGGGTCAAAGTTTTTCTGTTTGCCTAGAGTCAGGCACTGTTATAATGAGGCTAGTGGAGAAATCGTAATAAGGGTTGTGAAAAGTAAGGAATGCCTTTTTTTTCAGCTAATCTTTGTAATACTTAAGAAAGCATATTTATTCACCCAGGGAAAAATTAACATCTTGGTTTGGAAGTGAAAGCTGAAACAAAGCCTTGTGATTTTCTCCAGTGAAACCAACAAATAATCTTTATACTCTATACTCATTCTTTTATTTTAAAAATCCTAAATTCAGAGTGGAAGAATTAGATCAGCTGTGAAAGGCACTCAGTATGAATTTAATTTAAATAAATCTTCAGGTAATGTTGGCAATATTGTTACTATAACCCTCAAATAGTTAGTTTCAAGGGGGATTCTTTTATCAAAAGACAGAAAATTTGGAATAGGTAAACATAAATTCCATATTTTCAAATATGGGCCCATAGGCTATATTCTAAAGCATTTTTTTAATGTTCATGGGCAAAGACCAGAGTTTAAGATGAAATTAGAATTATATTCATAACAACATAAGTAACATGGCTACGCATGCCAAAATAATTCAGGTTTAGAAGAAATCGTTCAGTAAAAATAGTGAAAAACTGTTATGGGAAAAAAATATAAGGAAAAACCCAAAGAAAATTTCTTTCTAATGCATATAAAGACCGAAAGGGTTTGCTACTGTCTCTGAATAGCGTTAAGAATTTGTGTCTACTGCCTCTCATTTATTCTGTCTGTACTTGAGGTTCAGATCCACAGCACATTGTGCCAGCCACCCAGAGGTAGTCTAAGGCATGACAACCCTCAAATGCTACATACATACACCCCAAATAATAAACCCAAATGAATTCAGATTCTCTTCATTGGTTAGGATTAACTGACGATTTTGTTACTGCAGCATAAAGAGAAGTTTTACTATGCAAAGCTGCAGAAAGAGGCTTAACCGCATAAAAAAAAATTGTGTAACCATTCGGGGAAATCAATTTAAAGTGTCAATTAAAATGATCTTCATTTATTCATTGAGATAGGTTTGTTAAACCAACTCAACCCCTTTATCCTAATCACCAGCCACTGCAGATGAGTGCATCTGAAGGTTTAACAGTTTTTCATAAAAAGTGTCAAAAATTTCCAGGGTAACAAAATACTTTGAAATAAATAAAAATAAACAACAATAAAGAATAATTACACTTTTAGGTCTTATTTTCATCAAACACTGGTCAGCAAAACAGAACAATAGTCCAGAAATCTAAGACATGCTATTCCAGCTTCGAACGCTCCTGCCCCCCCCCCCCAAGCAGACCAGGGAGGAGAAACTCGGTGACAGTGTTCGAAAAACTTCACCATAACCTTCTAACTTGGAGGGGGAGAGCAAGGAGACAGCCAAGGGAAAAAGATGTGGGATGCGCTGTGCTGGAGATCCGCCTTTCCCACCACCACGTGACTCAGAGATGGGGAAAGGGTCCCTATTCATCAAGGACAGAAGGAAGGGAGAGGACCACACCAGGCTCACCTTGAGCTATTTAACTCCATCAACAGAGAGGTGTCACTACAACAGACCAAAGGCAGGACGCTGCAAGAAATAGGGGAGGGGAGAGCCTGGCAAAGAGAATCCTACGAAGCCTCTTTAAAGTCCTCCTTATCCATTAGGGACAGTCAGCACCAGGGTTAAAACATTTTCAAAGTTTCACCTCCTTCCCCTCAGCTAAGTGGTTGGAAGGAGAATGTGGCCGCTGGGGAGAGGCACATGGGATCACTGGTCACAGGAATAAAAACGTGTGTGTGTACGTTTTTATTTATTTATTTATTTATTTTAGAAAAGGCAAGCTTTGAAAATATTTACATTGAAAGGTCTCACTCCCTTCCTTGTCTTCTCCATCCATCCTGTTATTCCAATGGCCTCCTACTGGTGACCACTTTTATTAGTTTCTTCAATATCCTTCCACTGTTTCTTAATGAACATGTATGTTCTTTTTTCTTTCCTTTGTCAAAAAAAGTATCATTGTATATATACATACACACCACCAAACAGCAGTAGATACACAGATAAAGAGATTGGTTTTTCCACCAATAATACAACCTCAGAGCCTTCTGCACCAGCATACAGAGAGCTTCCCTGCTCTTATTTACGACATTTCCAGCACGTGAATACATCAGAATCATCCCCTGTTCTTGAACATGAGAGTTGTTTCCAGTCTACTACTATTATGAACAACGCTGTAGTGAACAACTTGGTACAAAGGTCATTTCTACTGTGTGCAAGTTCATCTGTAGAATAAATCCCCCAAATGGGGTTTCTGTATCAGAGGACAAATGCATGTGCTAGTGACAGCTCTGGCCAAATTGCTCCCTGAAGATTGATAAATAAATAAATAAATAAATAAATAAATAAATATATATATATATATATATATATTTTTTGTTTGTTTGTTTGTTTGTTTTTTGTTTTTTGTTTTGTTTTACTTTTAACTTGACAGAATGCACGCCCACATCTACCCCAGAAAAAAAATCTAAGACCAAAACTACCAATTACTATTAACCACAGCCCAACTGAGCTAATCACATCCCCTTAGGGCAACAGAAATGTGGAAAAATACAACCCACCAGAATGTAGTCCTTAAATTGAAGTTCCGAAGGGAAGATCAACAGGTCCAAGATGAGAAGGAGAAGAGTCCAGAATGTAGTCACTTTATGTCTAGGCAAAAAAAGGTCCCAACAGAATCCCCCACATTCAACAAGAGTAAGATGAAAAGAACAGCAGGGAATATACGCACACTTGGCAAATATGCACAAATATGACAGGAAATAAAAAAGGCTATAAAGAAGAATCAGAGCATGCAAAACGCAAATTTAAAAGTTCCATTTTCATTAAGACTATGAGCTCTGGACTCAGACTGCCTAATGTAAATTCCAGCCTTATGATAAAAAAAAATTGCGAGACTGTACAGGTTACTCTACCTATATTTCTGTGCTTTGATTTCATCACATGTAAAATAGTGATAATTACAGTACCTATTTTTAAGGTCTTTTATAAAGATCAAATGGCTTAGAAGACGGCTCCATAAATGCTAGCAGAATTACTGTGATTAAATATGTAACAAAAAGTTAAAGAAAACTTTACACAGTTTTACTTTAGTAAAAATAAGAGAAGGCAGAACTAAACAGTGTGGACACAGGTGGCTGGGTGGGTGGATGTGGTCTTGGACATCTGCACAAGTTCCCTTTCACTCTTCCATTATTCTCAATAAAAGAGGAAGCAAAACCTCATCCTAAGGACTTCCCCAATCCTGAATCTCATTTTGAAACAAAAATGTTACAGGATGGAGCCTGTTGGGGTGAAATTACTGTGTCCACAAGGTTTAATTCATCCTCAGCCCTATGCAATGCTGATCAGTCCCTGTGTGTACTCCTGCCCTAAACCGAAGACTTCTGTGGGTCCTATCTCGGGACAGCCTCTCTCCCTGAAGAAATTTCCAGGGAGGTTCCTCGGGGTGGTTACAGCCCTCAGCCCTCTCACCCCTGTCCCTAACTGAAAACGGAAACATCACTGTGACTTTCTCTCGCCTACTAAGTTTACTTGCCTCACCTAGACCTCTGTGAGAGTTCACTGTATGTGGCAGCTTGGCTGGGCTACAGTGCCTAGTTGTTTGGTCAAACACCAGTCCAGATGTTGCTCTCAAGGTATTTCTCAGATGGAATCGACATTCAAAGCGTAGACTTTGTATAATTCTGAATCACTGTGCTGTACACCTGAAACTAATATAATACTGTAAATCAACTATATTTCCATTTAAAATAAATAAATAAATAAAGCAGTAGACTTGGAGTAAAGAAGATTATCTTCCATAGTCCGTGGAACTTACCCAATAAATGAAGGCCTTAAGAGCAATACTGAGGTTCCCAAAGAAGGAACTCTGCCTTGGATGGCAACAGAGAAATTCCATCTGAGTTTCCAGTCTTCCAACTCAAACCTGCGAAGTCAACTCTGAGTTTCCTGCAGATCTGGGATCTGCCAGCCCCACCAATCACATGAGCCAATTCCTTAAAATGAACCTGTGTGTGTGTGTGTGTGTGTGTGCATGTATGTGTCTATTTATTTATATTTCTCCCATTTGTCTGAAAAATCCAAATACAGCCCTACTCAAAAGTTTATTGCACTCAAATTAAGAGTTATTATTTGCATTTTTAAAACATTTTGACCTCTTGGGAAGAGAGGCTCCCAAACCGTAGTAAAATAGTGATCAGC